TACTCCTATCGGTCATATGTGGGGGTTCAATCAACTTAAGTAGGGTTGTCTGCTAGCTACATGGTGTGAAATAGGTTGAAACAACCAGACATACCTACGAATATCCTCCAGCAAACCAACAGTTTGCAAAGTTTGCTATGGAAATCACCATTTTCAAGAGTAAATCATCGGACTACCTGGGCCATTTTCATCCATTTTCCATAGCTATGTTAGTCTACCGGGAGGGTACCACCATGTACCACCCAAAAAAACTGGCCATGGGTGTGCCCCAAGGCAGCACCAATCCTCGTGCGACAGCCAGATGGAAGCCTGGCGCAGGTGCAAACCCCTCCATTTTTTCATCATTTTCCGAGGGTTTCCCCGCCGGGTTTTCCATATTTTTTTGATTCTTTTTGTATGTCCCATGTTCGGAAGATTTTGATACCTGGACATTTTTTATTCTTTTTGTTGATTTATTTCGGGAATATGTATTTTTGAGAATGTGTTGCATGGATAATCCTTTGAGACTGGGTTTTTTAGGAACGTTGAAGGCCTCATTGAAACAAAGAGTGCAGGCGGAGAAGGATGCAGGTTGAGAGGCAGGTGGTTCACCATTTGATGATCTTTGACGGAAATCTCTGACTAGATGGTGACTTTATTTCACTTACATTTGATTCTTCATTTTCACAGAACATAGACTCTCTGGTTGGTGGTTTGGAACATGAATTTTATTTTCCATAATATATGGGATGTCATCCTTCCCATTGACGAACTCATATGTTTCAAGATGGTTAAAACCACCAACCAGCTTGGTTATCATCATTATTAACCATTATCCACCATTATTAGCAGTGATTAACCACTATTAACAATGGTTATTGCACCACCAACCAGCTCTTAAAACCATGTTTTTTCCCACCTCAAAGTCATGGATCCCTTGACGGCCGCAGGGACAGCCTTGGGGATGGGTAGCATCGCCTGCCCCATCGACCCCAGATGTGGAGTCACTGGACGCCAGACGCGCCTGGCTCCAGTTTCAGAGCGCGCAACAGGCGCTGGAAATCATGGAGAGATTCTAAGTTGTGCATGTTTAATGGGTAATTTGATAGGGAAATTCATCATAATGGTGAAATGGGGAATTGAGTGGGGAATTTCATATTTGACAGTCGAAACGACAGTTTGCTTGAAGGACCAAGCGATTGGCCGATGCCGTTTCTGGTTCAAAGAGCTCACAGATGAGCAGTGTTTGTGCCAAGTGTCGATACTCGGACCGTCTGAGTGGAGACACTTGGTGCATTGCGTGCAGCGCCTGGGAGGGGCCGTGAGCTCACTAACAAGTGGGCAGGGCCATAGCGGAGAACCTCGTGGTGGGTGCTGCACGGGAGGTGCGGGCGCTGCGGTCGCTAGGTGCTGGGGTCTCCCGTGCACCGGCGGCTGCGGCACCTGCACTCCCGCGCACCCTGGCGCGGGGAACTGGAAGTGCCGGCGACGAGCCGGGCACTCCAGGCCTGGCAGCCAAGTCAGCGGCCAACCCTAAGGGCCCCTCAGGTGACTCTGACGAGTACACCAGAAGCCTCCAGAGGAGGACAAGCGGCCCGAGCTGCCAAGGAGGAGTCACAAGAGGAGCCCGTCGAAGGGACAAGCAGTGAAAGAAGAGGAAAGGAGTGAGGACCGAAGGCGAGACAGAGCAGAGGAGGAAAGAAGAAGTGAAAGGAAGAGAGATAGAGAAGAGAAGGACAGGGAAGAGCGAGTCCCGGAAGAGAAAAAGAAGAAGGATAAGAAAAAGAAGGACAAGAAGAAAGGAGGAAAGAAAGTAAAACGAGGAGGCAGGAAGAGAAAAAGAAGAAGGATAAGAAAAAGAAGGACAAGAAGAAAGGAGGAAAGAAAGTAAGACGAGGAGGCAGGAACCACAAAAGACTGGCAAGGCTGGCTGAGAACCCTTACAAGGAGGTTCATCGAACACTACCCGACAACATCCTGAACGAGAGGCCCAGGTTGGAGCCAGGTAGAGACAAGAGGAGCCATTAGGATGGCAGAAGAAGCACCGAGAGGGTGTTTGGCAGGAGAAATGCTGAAGAACGAGGATGTAAATCGGTGGAGCAGCTTTTGTCCTCACATTGGGGACGTTGTGGAGTACGACACGGCCCTCGTATAGGAGGCTGTGGGAACTTCCGCACAGGCCGCACTGCTGGTTACGTCTACAGAGAAGGAGGACGACCAGACCCTATACATCTACGGAAGGCATGTGGGCTGCAGTTCAGAGGAGATGGGCAAAGTGCTCAGCAACCGCATCAACCGTCGTGGAAGCCCTCTTCACTTGTGCTGGGGCAGCCCGTGCATGAGTGGAGAGGAGCGGCAAGCCATCCATGTGGTGGCGATGCGGTGGTTCGAGCGCACAGCCTTCGATCGCCTACATGAAAGTCTGGGGCCGCATGGTGCTCAAGGAGTTTGGGGAGCTCGACAAAGAGGAAGCAGAAGAAGGAGAAGAAGAGAAGAAAAGGCCACTCAAGAAACTTGGACGAGGCAAAGAACCAGGTGGAAGAAGAGAGAAACCCCGTGGGGGCCGAAAGCGGCCTGCTGTGGCCAAGAGTGGGGCAGCCCCCAAAGATCACAGAGAGCGGCTGCGAGAGAAGCTCCGGGCCCTCAAGGCAAAGTTAATAGAGGGGAAGGCAGAGGCCAAGGCCGTAGAGGTCATTGGGTCTTCAGATGAGACCGAAGAAGCAGAAGAGGAGGAGGAGAATTCAGAGGAGCCAGAGACCCCGACTGGGAGTTGGGGACAAGCTGAAAGGAAGGGCAACTCAGCTGGCCCTAGGAGACGTCAAAGGAGAGGAGGAAGAGGCTTCAGAGAAAGAAGAAAACAGGGAGAAGAGATTGAAGAGAAAGAAGAAAAAGAAGCAAGACTGGCAGGCTCAGTTGCTGGCTCAGGCCGTGCAAGCTCGAGCCGCGCGGGAGGCAGAGGACAAGGAGAAGAAGAGCAGAAAGAAAGCGACGGAGGATCGAAAAAGGTAAGGGCGTTGGTGAAACTCCTTACTGGAGAAACTTCGAAAGGAGAAAAGAAATCGAAGAAGAAGAGAGGACGCAAAAGGAAGAGGGTTGGTCATGGAGGAGGAGACAGTCCGAGCTCTTCAGACAGCGACGGATCGCGGAGGAGCAGCCCAGACCGGGAGGAGTCGGAGTCCAGCTCAACAGAACTGCTGGCTCCAAGAAGCCGGGGGCGGTGCTGAAGATGCTGGTGCACCACACCAAGACCACTCTGGACCAATCATCTGTGGTCGAGACAGAGAAGGACCAACAGGTGACCGGTGGGATCAAGATCTCCACATATTTCAACCTGCTTGTCCGGCCTTACCACAGCCCGGCGAGCAGGGATATGAAGGAGATGAGCCACCTAGCCGTCTGCCTCGACGAGCTAAGGTCGGGTCAGCTGGGGAAACTTGGGGACATTCCTAGCGATCCACACCGCGGTCAACGAGGGGTCATGGCAGAGTGCCCAATTCTTGGAGCTGCACCCCCTGGAGGCGACCCAGGGAGCTCCGACATCGCTGCTGTTGGAAGCGAAACGCAGGGGAAGGAGCCTTGGCGTCCAAGGGGCGAAGTGGACTCATGGAGGAGCAGCGGAAAAAGGGGCGTCAAGGCAGAGGAGGATGGAACCAGAGCGGAAAATGGGACGCCTGGAGAGGAAAGAACTGGTGGGCAGACCAGAAAGACAAGCCAGATGGCAAAGAAGGGAAGCCAGGAGGAAAAGAAAGCAAGGAACCCGCGAAGTAGAGAAGGAAGGTCCCCAGGAGTCGGGTTGGGTCCGTACTGGGCCTGACCTCAGGGGTTGGAGCGCTTTTGGGCTGGTGTTAGAAGATGCCAAGACGCTGAAGGGGGCTGGCTGCCTCTTGGCTTGGCTTGTTGTTCATGCTGAGCTGGAGGTTAGAGTGGGCAGCCTGAAGACAGCGATGTTGCCTTTGCTCGGTGCTGGCCTTTCCGCCGTGCATCGCTTCCGTAAACAGGAAGCCCTTCCCATCCGGCTTGGAGAGCTGGAGCTCACTGTGGGCCTGCTGAAGCGCAGCTCCTACGGTGATGTTTTGGTAGATTCTTTTGTCGCCAATCATGCTGGCGAGTGCTGGACCCTTTTGTCCGTGCACTATATTAATTTGTTGCATGGATGCCGATCCCCGCCTGTAGGGTGTTGGCGCAAGATCGATGCGACTGCTGTTTCAAGTGTGCGTGCCGCTGTACAGAGATCTTTGCGCTTGGATTCTCCGGCTGAGCGCTCGTCCGAGAGCGTTGAAAAAGAATTGAGCAGTAGATTTGTGAGTTACACAGGCGAAGAGGTGCCAAAGATGGAGTTTTTAACCAAAGATCAGATTGCACCAGCTTTACCACCGGCAGAACATGGAGGGTCAATCGACATTTTGGACTGGACTAAGGGACGGACGCGTAGTTTTCTTGTGAACCCCTCTGGTTGCCTGGCTTCTGATGAGGGACAGCTCTTACCAAAGTTACAAGCGAAAGTTCACATTGCCCCAAATGAGAAGATGTCTGTTGCAAGCCTGCTGATTGAAAGAAATATTGTCAGTGGATTGAATTGGAAGAAGTGATCTCCTTTAGGGGAGCCAAGGTGTTGAACGGAATGTTTGGTTTGGTAAAGGGTGCACGTTTGGAAGACGGGAGGTCGCACCTTCGTGTTATCATGAACCTTATCCCCAGTAACAGCGTGCTTTTACAACTTACAGGGTGCGTACAGCAACTGCCTGCCGTCACTCAGTACTTGTCGGTGATGTTGGAAGAAGGTGAGTCTCTCAAGATGTGCCAGAATGACATGACCTCGGCATTTTATCTGTTTAGATACCGGCGTGCTGGCTCCGGTTTTTGGCTTTCAACCTAGTGGTTAATGGGAGTGAGATCGGAAGAGATGCAACTAAGAAATTTTGTCTGGCTTGTCAAGTTCTTCCCATGGGTTGGTCTTCGGCGGTTTCTGTCATGCAGGATACAATTGTTGGTTGAAAGACAGGGGATGCCGGGGACTATGCAGGTCATGCGTCACAAGCCGTTACCTGAATGGTTGGTTGAGACAATTGAACAAGGGAAAGGTGAAGGCCGAGGTTGGTTTTATGTGTACTTGGACAACTTCTTTTCAGGTGAGAAGGTTGTTAGAGGAGAGGAGCAGAAGATTGCCGAGCACTTGCAAGCTGAGGTAGAGCAGGCGTGGAATAGAGCAGGTGTGCTGTCATCAGAAAAGAAGAAGGTTACAGGGAGCGAGCAGGTACAGGAACTGGGCGCGCAGTTTGATGGGGATGCTAGGCTTTTGGGGGTGTCCTCATCTCGACTGCTGCGCCTCTTCCAAACTACATGTGTGCTATTGAGTAAGAGACGGTTTCCTCGCAAGTGGCTTCAAGTTGTGCTTGGGCGCTGGGTACACGGGTCACAGTTTAGACGGGCAGGTATGGCTAGCCTTCACAGGGTTTGGAAGTGGTTGAGTAACAAGAAAATCAGCTGTAGCCAGTATTTGCGGGCAAGGCGTGAGTTGGCTACGCTTCTCTTGGGGAGTTGTTTGTTCCATACCTTCTTGGGTGCCTCTGTAAGTAACACTGCTACCGTGTCTGATGCCTCAGGAAAGGGGGGTGCTGTTGGGCAATCAACCAAACTCACGGAAGAAGGCCAGGACTTTGTGAGAGCTCTGACAAAAACAGCTGAAGGTTGTCCACGCGTGCCGATACTGGTGTTATCCCTCTTTAACGGGATAGGGGGAGCGTTCCGTGCTTATGATTTGGTCGGTGCAGAACCAGCAGGGCTGATTGGATTTGATGTGACCAAACCTGCGACCAGGGTTACGTCAAGAAGGTGGCCACATGCCGTCTTGAAGGGGGACGCCAGGGAGATTGACATGAAAATGGTTAAGGGATGGCTTTTACAATGCCCTCATGTGACCCAAGTGGATGTCTGGGCCGGTTTTCCGTGCGTGGACTTAAGTGCAGTGAAACTGGGGAGGCTTAATTTGCGCGGAGAACATTCTGGGTTGTTCTCTGAAGTGCTGAGGGTATTGGACTTGTTACGGCAGGTCTTTGGGAGAAGGTTTAAGATCTATTCCTACGGTTGAGAATGTTTCGTCTATGGACAAGGAAGCGGCCCATGAGATCTCAATGGCCTTGGGCGTGAAACCCTTCAAATTGCAGAGCTCTGATGCGGTGCCAATTTCAAGACCACGGTTCTGCTGGACCAACAAAGACCTGCCTTGGATGAGCGGGGTGACCATCTTAGACAAGGGTGACTATTTTGAAGTAGTGGCTGAGTGTGAATATCCCTTTGTGCAACAATGGATCAGAGAAGACAGTGTGTGGCCGAGCTGTGACAGTGGGGCGGTTTTCCCCACATGCATGAAAGCAATTAAACGCGTAGCTCCTCCCCCAGGGCCTGCGGGGTTCGCACACCAGAAGATGCCCGTGAAAGATGGAGGAGTGACGATTTCAGGTATCCTCCCTACCAGTACAAGACAAAGAACCCTATATCTTGTGGAGTCCTAGGGGCTGGCGGTTGTTGGAGGCCTCTGAACGAGAATTGCTACATGGATATGGCTTTGTCATACAAGTGTATGTTATTCCGCGAGCGATATCAAGCGTAGCTACAGCGACTATGAGGACCAGCGATGTTCTTTGGTTGGGGACAGCTTCAACATGTATTCATTCGTCATTTTTGCTTGGGCTTCCTGCATGGAATGGTTACCTCCCCTTTCGTACAAGCACGTGTGTTCACGAATGGGATTGGCTCGGGGTTTCTGTTCTATTCCTCTCCTCTTGTCAGGTCGTTGCCCTATGGGAGTCCTTCTGGGGACTGTCTGTCAGTGTCTGGACTGGGAAAGTTATTACTTGCGAGAGTGAACCACACCAGTTCAGATGTAAGAGTAGTTTCTGGTGCAGTTATGAACCCCCGAGCCTATCCTCGACAATCAGCAAGTCCGGAGTGGTGGAATTGGAAAGGCGTGTTCAGTTGTCGATGGGCAAGAAAGGAACATATTAACAGATTGGAGATGCGCAGTATCCTTTTGGCCCTGAGATGGCGTGTTCAACATCTTGGAGAAGTGGATTGCATGCAGGTTTGTGCACTTAACAGATAGCTATGTCTCTATGTCAGCTATTTTTCTAAGGGAAGATCGTCCAATGACATGTTGATGAGCGTGATGCGCCAGATTGCAGCAGTTGAGTTCGCATTTAACCTCTATCCCATTCTCATCCATGTTGAAAGTACGAGTAACCCCACGGATGAAGCAAGTAGACTATAGCCATGGGGAAATATGCTTCTTTCGCTGGTATCAGAAATCGCCGTGCGAGAGCTCAGGCGCGGCAGGGTATTTGCCTGCGTGACGCGGGCATATCAAAAAAGACACAGGGTCGTTACTACCTGGCGGTGACCAAACTCTGCAAGGTGGTATCAGATGTTTCATCTATGGAAGACATGGATGATCAAATTGCTGATTTGATAGAGATGCAGTTTCACAAGGGTGCCCGTTTGAATCTCATTGGAGATGCGCTGTCTGGGATCCACTATTTCCTTCCTAGTGCCCGAAAGCGATTGCCGGTGAGCTGGAAGCAATTTGCAGTTTGGCGCCAGATGGAAGTGCCATCTCGTGCCCCCCTTTGCCGGCAGATTTGTGCTGGGCTATGAGATGTCAAGAGCCGTGCAAAGGGGGCACATGAGTATCGCAGCGCTTCTGGGGCTTGGCTTTGACTGGTTCCTTCGTACAGGAGAACTTTTGTCAATTCGTCCTGTGGATTTGTTGCTCCGCAATGGAAAGGGGCTAATCACACTTCCAGCTTCCAAAGGTGGCACGAGGCATAATGTGAAGGAATCTGTCACCATACAGAATCCAAAACTCCTTGTCTTGCTTGAAGAACTTGTCCTTGTAAAGAAAGAAGCCAATTTGTATAGGGCTCCGATTTGGACAGGTACTGGAACACAGTTTCGCAAGCAGTTTCACGATCTCACGAAATTTTTCAGAGTTGATCATTTGCAATTTAGACCTTATTCTTTGAGAATAGGCGGCGCTACGGCGTATTTTAATCGAACAGGCCTCATGGAACAGACACTCCTCCGAGGGAGGTGGGCCAGTGTGAGCGTGGCCCGATTGTATCTATGTGATGCCTTAGCTCAGCTACCAGGCCTAGTGGCATCACCTTCCACCCAGCAGCTGGGCACAACGTACCGTTCTGGTCGACTTCTTAATAAGCCAAGCACTGGGGTACGTGGAAGGGTGAGAAAAATCAATGAAACCGGAATCCTGCCATATGGATTAGAACCGGTGAGAATTCAATGTCCCGCCATATGGACAAATATGTGTTTCAATAACGAGCACCTTCATGCATGGCAAGGCCAGAAAAGTGCGGTCACTGAAAGCATGACAGTCGAAACGACAGTTTGCTTGAAGGATCAAACGATTGGCCGATGCAGGAAAGAGGAAAGGTCGTCAGGCGGTTGGCGGATTTTCTGGCTGTAACAGGCCTATGGCGACCAGAGGAGGCCGGCGGGAGCCGGGAAGGAGCGGAGCTGGCGCAGCAGAGGTTCGCCATGGGACGTCGGTTAGGGACCCTGCGCCAGCATCTGCGTAATGCAGAGAAAATATCCAGATTCTGCATCGCCTCCTACGGCCGTCGGTGGATGAAGGAGCCGAGGGACTTCTACGACCTCGTGGCCTCTCGGCTGTCGGAGCCGTGCGGTCGGCATGTACCGCGAGCGCTGCTGACGACGATCGGCTTCGTTGAGCAGGCTGCCGAGGTGGGTGAAGGAGCACGGCTCTCTCGAAATCCAGGTGTGCGGAACTTTCTCCGGGAGGTGGAGAGCTCCACCGGATGGAAGACGGGGAGGATCACGAAGAAAGCCTCCCCATATCCGTTGATGGTCGTGTTGGCCCTGGAGGACCAAGTCATGCGCAAAGAGGAGAAGAGCTACGCCAGATGGTTCGCGTGGCTGAAGCTAGTGAAGCTTTGGGCAGCCCTGCGCTGGGACGATGTGCAGGGAGTTCCGAATCCGGCGCTGATCATGAGGACCGACGGCACCATGGTTGGCAAGATCACGAGGTCGAAGACGACCGGAATTGGAAAGAAGGTGGAGGTGATGAATTTCTACATCTCCGGGCAGGCGTATTTTCTCCAGTCGGAGTGGCTTCTGACCGGATGGACTCTGAATGGATGGATGTCCGCTCAGAGCGGTATGGCGGAGAGGGATTATCTGGCCCCCCTGGCCGATCCGCAGCTGTCCGGGTTCCGAAGGGCCATGACAAAATACTCCGATGCAACAGCCATGACCAGGGCTCTTCTGTGTCGGCTCCGAGTGGATGTGAGAGCCACGGAGAGGGACACGGACCTGGCGGGTATCGACCCTACTCTGGTGTTCCCTGAGACCCTTGGGTTCTGGTCGGAGCATTCGGAGCGGGGTACAATGAACACATGGATGCAGATGGCGGGGGTCCCGCCGGAGGTCCGCCGGATGGTCGGACGGTGGTCCGTCAGCCAGGAGGAGGAGTACCTCCGGAACTTGGAAGCCGGCGTGACGGGGGCCCAACAGAAAGTGGCACGGATGGTTCAGGAAGGGCCGGACAGCAGTTCGGAATTTGGTGCTTTCGAGCGCCAAATCGCCGGAGAAATGAAGAGGTACCTGGAGCTGAGAGGTGTGGCGGAGGAAACGATCCTGAAGCAGTTGGAGGCGATTGCGCTGCCACCCTCTCAGCCGGTTCCTCCCAGTGTGGGTGTTTTGAGTAGCGAGGCGTGGAGCCTCGAGGAGGCGGCTTCATTCGGCTTCGGGGATAGCACTGTCAAGTCGGAAGGCGGCCCTGGGCCGGCGGGCAGTGTCAGGCCATCCCCGACATCACCGGCGGCTTCACCCACACAGGAAGGGGAAGAGGCGGAAGGTGAAGGCACACCTGTTGGCGTTGGTCAGGGTGAAGTGCCCGGAACCTTCGTCTTTTCCGTTCTGGGGAGCTGCAACAGGCGGACGCTCCACAGAGTAGGAGAATGCTGGAGGAAGCCAGGGGTCCATTACAGGGACTACTTGCTGGTCGGCCCGGATCGTCCCCCGCTAGAAGCCGGGGATAGGGAATGTAGGGACTGTTTCAGGAGGGTCTTGTCGGTCCCCGAAGGGGATAAGTCGGAGGCCGAGATGTCCAGCTCCTCCAGCAGTGAGGACGGTCCGGAAGCAGCCCAGGACGACGAGTGAAGGTGAAAAGGGTTGGGGGGAATCTCAGGGATTCCACGGTCGTCTGCTGCGGTAGGATCTTTTGGGTTTTATTTTGCTCCACTCGTTTCGGTTTGCGGAGCTCTGGAAGGTAGGAACGTGGGCCATTTCATATTTATGGCCAGGGCGTTGTGGCTCAAGGAAACGGAGGGCGGTAACACGTCCGAGGAAGGGGGCCATAACAGGCCTAAGGGACAGGCGTCGGTGACCTGTAACAGGGTCAGGAGTCCAAAGGGGTAACACCTGGACTGGGACGGAGGTGGTTCGTATAAGGGACCAATGGCGGGCCTCGCGGATCGCCAGGCTCTCGAATCCCTTGACGGGGATCTCAGAGGATTATTGGATGGTAAGAAGGTGCCCGAAGACGTCCAAGTAACATTGGGCAGGAGAGGAGTGCAAAGCACAGAACTCCTAGCGGTCTTGGCGGACGACCGCGAGGGAGTGAGGCTTTTCGCTAAGGATACGCTGGGGTTAGACCCGGCAGTGGATCCGGCGCTCAACGTGACTGTGGCGAAGTTGGTGGTCAGCTGGGAGGCGGCGAAACAAAGGCTGCAGGTGAAGTCTCAGCAGGACGCCCAGGCGACAGTGGAGCGCGAGGCGAAGGCGATCCCTGTCAACGATTTTCTGGGTGTCCGCAAAAGGTTCGAACAGCAATTTTACCCCCTGAGGGAGGAGGAAATTCCGTCCAAGAACTCTCTGGAAGACCTGGCAGATCAATTGGAGTCTGGGGATTGGAGGGCGATGTCCCTTAAGGAGATCGCGTCGCGGGCAGATCAGGAGTCCGACGCGCAATGGGGCTCACTTACCGTGGGCAAACTTGGTCAGGTGAAGATGAAGAAAAGCGCGGTGGAGACTCCGGCGCCGAAAGATCAAGAGGAATTCCGCCAAAAGCTCAAACTTTTGGGACACCATTTCGTCTTTCTACGAATGCTCCACCCTACCAGGAAGGAGCTGGAGGGGGTGAACCCTTTTACGTTTTCAACGTATACGGACTATATGTTGTCCAAGCGGGTCGCTCGCTTGCAGGCCGAGGATGAGAAAGGTCAGGTGTACCACACGCCGACCCTGCGACAAGTCTTGACGTATGACTACTACGTCCGCAAGAGGGCGATGGAACTTCTCGAGGCATCCAAACCGTTGGGAGAGGCCTTAAAGGAGGCCTATGAAGATGCCACCATCAAGGAACGGCATTTCACCACGCCTTTGTCCGTCAGCGCGGTGGCCCAAAATGCGACGGCTCGTAGCAGATCTCCGCTCCCTGCCGGGGGCGCGTCATCCTCGGCTAAGGGGGCCAAAGGCAAGAAGGGCAAGAAAACCAAGGGAAAAGGTAAGGGGTTCCACTCTGTCACACCGGAAGGGCGACAAATCTGCTACGCGTACAATTCGCAGTGGGAACGCTGTGACGGCTCCTGTGGCAGGTTACATGTCTGCCAGGCATGTTTCGGACCGCACCCCCTCCACATGCACACGGCCGAGCTCAAGAAGCATCTTCCTGCCGCGGGCAAGGGGGGTGCGGAGCCCGCAGCGGGCGCTTGACAAACTGCCGGGAGGCTGGCCGTCCTCTACTTGTTTCCGGGAACAAGTCATAAGGCCAGCCTCAGACAAAGCCTGGAAAGGCTATGCAATCAAGCGGCGATTCAGCTGCACATGGAAGAGTGGGACATTTTGGAGTTACAGTCCCGCGACCCTTCTGATCCGCAGGTCGCTGAAGCGTTGCTAAGTCGGGTCCGGCAAAGGGAATTTGACGCCATTTTCCTGGCCCCACCAAACAACACGTGGAGTCGGGCTGTGCACAACAATCCCTGGGGACCATGCCCCTTGCGGAATCGGTCATGGCCCCGGGGCTTCCCTTGGCTCGAAGGCAGATTCAAAGAACATGCCCGCCTAGGGAATTTATGTATAGATTTCTGTTTCACCATTTGCAACATTGTTTGCGACGACCCGCGCTGCGCTCGCGTCAAAATCATCTGGGAGCATCCCGAGGATTTGGGGGCAGCCGTTAACTCAAAACAATGCCAAGTCTTCCCTGCTTCCATTTGGCAATTACCGGAAATGCTGCAGTTGTTTTCTCGGCCAGGGTGGTTTACCGTGGCTTTTCCTTCAATGTCAGTTTGACTTGAATCAGTTGAAACCGACACGACTGCTTTCCAATTTTGCAGGAGTCACTACAATCGGTTTTCTTGGCCCTCCTTCCTTTGATCACGACGGATGGTACCTTGGGCCTTTACCCAAGACCTGTTCCCACGGTGGCCACCCACCTCTCATCAAGCGAGCTCAGTCCGGCAGCTTCCGTACCGGTCTGCAAGCCTACCCACCTAGCATGGTCGATGTTCTCGCCGCAGCCATTTTCTCAACAAGTCCCCCCAACCGTTCTAGCGAAGGGGTGATAGCGGTCGGGGAGACCCCGAACACAGCGGAATTCAATCCGGGATCTTCGGAAAACCCCGGAGATAGGAAGGAGGGTCTTCTCAACTCGGGTAACTCCGGGGCAGAGGAGACGACGGTAGGAGGGCACAGAGATGGGCCGGGTAACACCGGGACCATCGAGGACTCGGGTTGCACAGGACAAGAGGAGGACAAAGGGGCAGTAGCCTTCATGCCGGGCGTGGGCGGCATCTCTGGCGCGACCCCAGGAGTTGCAGGAAGGGGCATGCTCAAGGCATGCTACAAGGGCCGCACCAGGCCCTTTCATGACGGACTGGGACTCTGCTCGGTTGGCAGGTTGAAGTCGGAGGACCGCCCGAGGGGAAAGGCCTCGGGCGCCTTCATGGAGGTCAAAGAGATCTTTTGGGGGGAGCTCGAGAACTGGTTAGGGTCACTGGGAAAGGCAGGTGAGCTCAAAGTTATGGCCACGGTGCTTTGCGGTCGTCTGGATGGGTCCCCCTTCGGCACTTTGCCGGAGCGTATTCGGGCGAAATGGGTGGAGCGTCTCGCCGCCCGTGGCTTGGCGGCGTCCCGACGAGCGGGCGATAGGGAGACGGTCGTCGAGCTCCGGCTTCTCGCTGCCTTGGCCAGTCAGGCAGGGGACCCCGACTACGCTTATCTCGACGAAATGGCATCGTCTGGCGTCCGGCTGGGTACAGGCGGAGAGGTCCCCCGAGTACCCCAGGTATATGAGGCCAAAGATAAGTGGAACTTGCCTGAGGGGCGACCCGAGCACTGGCAGGAGGAGCAGGTGCAGGACAACTACCGATCGGCTGGCGATCACATGGATAAGGTAAGGGCACAGGTGGCGAAGGAGATGGGCCAGGGCTGGATCATCGAGATGCCTTTGGAAAGGGCGAGGTCGCGGTATGGGAAGGACCTCAAGATCGCGGCCCTCGCCGCCGTGCCAAAGGACCCGGAATGGGAGCAAATCAGGGTGGTGCATGACGCCACCAACGGGGTCGAGGTCAATCACCAGATTCGGTTGAACAACCAAATCCGGTTCCCGTTGTTCGACGATCTGGAAGCTGCCATGCACCAGTTCCTTCTGGAGGCGGACGCCCGTCGATTGGCCATGGCCTACGATTATAAAGGGGCCCATCGATTGGTACCCATTCATGAGGACGATTGGGGGAAGCAGGCGTTCCGCTTAGACGACCCAGAGGTGGTATACTTGAACTGTGTGGGAACGTTCGGAGTCGCTTCGGCGGCGTTCTGGTGGTCGCGCTTGGCGGCTACGCTCCAACGGACCCTGTGGGCGTTGCTGCCGGCAGGAGACCCACTATACATCCTCCTGTTTGCCGACGATGGGCTATGTCTGGCATCGGGACCCCGGTACCGTAAGAACCTTCTTGCGGTGCTGCTGTTTCTGACGGTACTGGGGGCGCCCCTTTCCTGGGCCAAGACGAGGGGTGGACTGCAAACGGAATGGCTGGGATATCAGTTGGATCTCAGTTCGGGGCTCCTGGGTGTATCTGAGAAGAAGGTGGATTGGCTGGAGACCTGGGTGGATAAGGCCCTACTGGACGGTAGCGTGCTTGGGCGTGAGATGAAAGCGGCCCTCGGGCGAATGGGGTTTCTCGCGGGCCCGCTGAAGCACGCTCGTCCGTTTCTGGCATTGTTATATCGGTGGACATCAAAGATCAGCCCCGGTTCCTTCTTGGGGATTCCTCTGAGCGTGCGGCTCACCATGTCCTTCTTTCTGGAAGCGGTGAAGCGAGCGCCTCTCCGGGTACCCCGGGGCATTCCCAAGGTAGGCGGCGAAATCTTCAGAGTGGATGCAAAGGCAGAGGGATCCACCGTTGTAATCGGGGGCTGGGAATCCTACGGCGGGACCTCGCCGACCGGGGCCCGATGGTTTTCAGCCACGTTGGACAGGAAGAATTCGCCATGGGTGTTCGTGAAGGGAGAGCCATTTAAAGTGATCGCTTCACTGGAGCTGCTCGCGATCACCGTGGCGATTATGGTGTTCCTTCCAGAAGCAAAATGGAGAGAGGCGGCCGGGCGACTCGTGCTTACCGCCTTCACGGACAACCAGGCAAACAGTTACGTCCTGGACAAATATATGTCCACGGCTTTTCCATTGTCCGTAGTGTTGATGGAGTTGGCGCTTCATCTGCAAAGGGCCCAAGTGGACCTGGACCTTCAATGGATCCCGCGGGATCAAAACACAGAAGCAGATGCCCTCACCAATGAAAACTTCGAAGGCTTTGATGAGGCCAAAAGAATCCCGGTGAAGATCGAGGAGTTGGAGTTTATAATACTCCACAAGCTGATGAAGATGGCCGAGGAGATAGACTCAGAAATAAATTTAAAAAGGACCTCAAAGGAAAAGTCCACCCACCGTGACGCCACAAAGAAAATGAGGCTGACACAACCCTGGTGATCCTACGGTGGGGTCAGATGTCACCAGAACATGTCAGCAACTCCAGGAAAAAGTGGCTGGGTGGGTGGGTCTTTGGAGAAAGGAGTGCCTGAAACCTAAAGTGTGGAATGAAGCATGAATGAAACACGTCTGTTTCAGGCCGACGTCTGACAGCATCGGGCTCAAAGCCCGCTTTGGGTACCCACCCACCACACCCCCAAAGCGGGGTCAGATGTCACCAGAACATGTCAGCAACTCCAGGAAAAAGTGGCTGGGTGGGTGGGTCTTTGGAGAAAGGAGTGCCTGAAACATAGAATATCATTTTTCGGATTACTGGGGTTCCGGCCGTTTTTTTTTTCAACTATCAGACCGTGGCTGCCGGGTGTGGAGGCTTTGGCGTCCTCCAGGAAAGTGATGATCTGCATCCCGTTTCTGGCTGCAGAGAGGGAGACTGACCAATAAAAGGAACTCATTCAGAACATGGCAGCTTCACCACCCACAAATGGGGTAGGGTTATCTACCCTCTGGTAATTTAACATAGCTACTGGAAATGCCCATTTATAGTGGATTTTCCCATTAAAAATGGTGATTTTCCATAGCTATGTTAGTTTACCAGAGGGTACCCTAAAACTCCATCAACAAACATGGGCAAGTTGCCTAGAAAAGTCCAGAATTTGGATCAACAAAAACCAGGGAGATGAACAAGAACCAAGCAAATAGGCATTGAGGGATATGAGCTGGGATCCATAAAATTGGTTATCCATTCTTTACTATTGTTCGGAATTTTGCAGGGTGAGTTCAAAGTTCAAAGTGAGCAAATCGAAAAACCACCTGGGCGATCAGTTGATTTAGCTGAGGCTTTCGAGTATTTTTCTGGAGATTACTCTCAGCTTGGCGCAGTGACCTGGAAGCATTGGTTCAACCACCGCTTGGATGTGCATCTCAGGAATTGTAAGTGGTTGATATCCAGAATGTCATCCACTTGTAGGATATACCCCACTTATGTACGGATTATAACCCACTTACTACATGGGATGCAGCCCGAGGCGCAGCGAGGAGGCGTGGCATGTGCGAGTGGTGAGGACGGTGAACATGGTCTACGGAGACTCGTCGACTCGTCGACCATGGATGTGAAATATCCAGTGGTTTGGAGGGAGCGAACTGAGCTCTGGATATCTGTCTGGATATCTATGATATTCCATGATATTCCTAAGAAATGGGCAGCCAGTTGGAGCTACGAATTTTTACTTTCCCAAGCACGGCCGTAGAGTTAGAACCCATTCAACTTCTGGGAAGCACCACATGAAAGTATTTGATCTAAGATGGGACCGATGTTTGTGGGGGGTTCGACGTCCCGGATAGGGGTAGAAAATCGAATTTGGGGGTGCAAACTAGGCACCTGAGCACCTTTGCATGCGGGTAGCTGCAAAGTTTCACAGTAAAATGGATATGAAACCCAAATGATGGAATAATTGGGATTGATTGGGTGATCAAAGCAAGGGGGATGCCTCAACCATTGGTTTCCCCTATTGCGATCTAAGAAATTCTGGATCATTCTGATAGGTTGTTGCTTCACCTTTGGGACAAACCAGCTGTCCACAGCTATGAACTCCTTGGCCTTGAGTCAATATGGGGAAGATCGGCGATGAGCACCAACAAGCATCAGCTGTTTCACTCCAAAACTAGAGGATTTCGGCACATCACTGCAGAAGTTGTATTACCCTCTGGTAAACTAACATAGCTATTGAAAATTGCCATTTATAGTTGATTTACCCATTAAGAATGGTGATTTTCCATAGTTACGTTAGTTTACCAGAGGGTACAAGAAGACACCTTAGAATTTGCATGATGATGGGCCAATTCCACAGGCCTGATGTGACGCCATCTGAGGATTGCTCTTCTACTTCCTTGGTTTTCAGGAGCCAAGATTGGGACCAACCCCAGCAATTTGCCACATCTTTAGGTGATCAGTTGCCATATGGGAGTCCAATGGGAGTCCAAAGACTTTCCTGCGCCTTTTGTACAAGGAAAGAACATAAAGACCTACTGCAACCGCAGGAGCAATGTTCAAAACTCCTGACTTGTGGGATGGCTATTTGAGTCGCTCCGCGACGAGTACCGCCCGCACCCAGATTAGATGCAAACTGTGCAGGTCAGGGACGACTTTTCGAAGTTGAGGAGTATGTTAGATTTCTGATCTCAAAACATGCAAAAAGAATCAAACAGATATTGAAAGAGGCCTATTCGTACAAAGATGTCAGAATCAGAATCAAATTGCACCGGAAAAGCTTTGCGTTGTCATCAGATGCCGCATGGGCAAATGCCAGTGACGCTGAGTGTTCTCATAAGTCTCAAGCTGGATTCATCGTTCTGACCGAGCACATGTTGCGGACATGTGGGGTCGAAACGGTGAATTTGGACGTTGTGCCACCATATCACGCCGCGGCACCTTCAGGCGGATTTCGCGTGGAGATAACCCCGACCGTGGTCCAACATGGTCCAACATGGTCCAACTGGTTTTAGGATGTTTTAGGCATGAAGTGAGTTTTTTTGGCATCAATCGCCAAAGACCTCTCACAGCAATTCTCTGGACTGTTTCAATTTGTGTCAGACATTGGGTATGAAATGGAACAGTTCGACAATGTTGCTGACTACAATTGACTACGCATAACTTTTTGCTAGCGACACCCCAATGTTTGTTGCTTATCCTGACCTTCTTGCTCCTGTAGAGCCTCATTAAATTTCGACTGGTTAAACAAATTATATGAAAATCTTAATCTCAAAATACTTGGAAGCCATATAAATCATATAAATTCCCAATTTCTCCGCTTGAGATCTCATTTTAATCGACGTTTGACCCACCGAATTGGTGTTTCAGGCCATCCGAGTTGGCGTCTCTGCTAGTGGCAAGCTTAGCAATGCAACGGTTGCGAGATATGTCCCCAATCCCCTGGTTGAACCAATTATTTCAGATGAAATGGATTGAAATGGTTACCCCGGAATCAAATGCGTGCTGGAAAATTCCCCAATTTAGTTCGATGGTTTTCCCAGATTTTCCCTCTTGAAACCTTCATTGATTGGGGATTTCCAATTGCAATGTTTGATTGTCGAAGGCTAGTAGTTGTTTTGAATGCTTATGTACAATTTTCCGTCCCCAATGTAAGATGATGATCCTTGAGACCCAACATTTTAGGGTTGAAAGGACCAGCCAGGTAGAAACTGAGATCCTCAACGTGCCATACTTCAATAGGCCATGAAAGGGTCAGTGTGTAACTGGCCGTCAAACTACTGTTCCCTCTGCCAGGCTGTTTACTCGATTATCGGGTTACTAGCCGTTCGGCCGGTGAGTTTTTCCAGCCACCACGCAACCCAAAGCACCGAAAGCACCAGACAAACAGTTGATACCACCCCCACAGATGTGTTTGTTTGGAGTATATCCCCAAAATAGCCAACTTGATAGGGAGAATAGTAGTTGTAATCTATCAAATTTTAAGGTACCCTATGTTCAGACAAACTTAGATGTTGATATGTTGCAGAGTGTAGACCATCCAAGTTTTTGTTACCCACAACTGCTGTTTGCATCCATGAGGTCACCACAGAGAAAGCCAGCGGATGCTTGGACGGCATTCATAGAGATAGTTGCTGTGTGGATGTTTGTTTCACCATCTTGGTTTTGACTATCTCTGGTTGGTGGTTTGGAACATTTTTTATTTTTCCGAATATATTGGGAATAATCATCCCAACTGACTAATATTTTTCAGATGGGTTCAAACCACCAACCAGATCTCCATTTCATGGTCCGAAATCGGTCAAGGCTTCGGCTTTCACTGTAGATCTACAAATCTCGCCCATCGAAATCCATATTTTTTTCCTGCAGTTCGTAAGCAAGTGCAGGAAAAAACCCCACAAATTGGAGGGCAAGAAACAACAAAAATGGCGGTTTTGATATGTTTTATATACAGAGGAGAAAGTTCAGATTCAAATTCCAATTCTTTTTGAAACATATTTTACCCTCTGGTAAACTAACATAACTATGGAAAATCACCATTTTCAATGGGAAAATCCACTATAAATGGTGATTTTCAATAGCTATGTTAAATTACCAGAGGGTACTTCGATTTTTTTTGGATGTTGCTACAAGTATGATCCCAGAATTGGTTGAAGGGAAAACGAATAAGGGAAAACCCACCAAATTCGGAGTAAAGACCAGCCAGTTTCACTTATATACTGTTTGCCTTAGACCCATCATTGATATCATGTTGTTTGTCATATATTCCTTCTAAGAATCCTATTAATTGTGGTTGATTTTATGTACTCCCAACTCATATCCCCATTCTATGTTGGCAAAATCCCTATTTTTGGGACATCACATAGAAACCTCCATCTTTACCGGTTAAACCGTATATAGCCACAATTTTAATGATATTGCACCTGGATTCTTTTCTGGTTAAACCTTATCCAACTGGATCAACAGCCGGGTCAAGGCTGCAGCGTGCTCTACGTCGCTTGGCCTTGGCTGCGCTCTTTGGAGCACTGGTGCAGCCGATGCTGTCGTGCCGACCCGTGGGGGTTGCCTGGGTGGGCGAAGTCATGGGCGAAGTCATGGGTTGGTCACAAGATTTAGAACCACCAAAAGTATCCAATGGGTTTCAAAGATCATTTAAACTTCACTTTTTTGATTTCCATTTTTTAGGGAAGAGACCATTTTGAGAGAAAACCATTTGGGGTTTCCGCGAGCAAATGGATAACAAGATTATCATAAATCACTCAAAATGGTGGAAGTGGAACCTGTTGTGAGACTGATGTCCCACAAAAAATATGAGATGCTGGCCCCCCAAACCGTGGTAACTTTGGGCTTCAAAATTTGACCTCAACCTGGCCCATGCTGCAGGTCTCATTGACCTTCATGCGGGTCGCCACCTTCTCACAGGCTGAGTGTCCAAGTGATGCCCGCTGCTAATTTAGCATAGCCATGGAAAGTGGCCCATTTATAGATTGTCTACCTATGTTTCCCCATAGACATGGTGATTTTTCATAGATTCATAGCTATGTTAAATCACCAGAGGGCAATTGTCTTGGTTCGAAAATGCCACTGATGTCTTCATCTGGTCTACCTCCAGTTGCGTCGATAAAGGGGGGAACCCAATGCCATAAACCTACCATTTGGGATGGTTTATACCACCCCTTTATCATGATTTTGGAGATGGCTTATGGCATTGGGTCTACCACATTACACTCATTTGCAACTTGCGACAACAAGATGTGGCAAGATGCAGCAGATTTGCATCTCCTTTGGGGGTTGTGACCAGGTCAAAGTCATATCTTGAATTAGGTGAGAGAAAGCTCCTGATCCAGGATGGTATGGGATTTCCTGGAATCAGGTTCGCTCTTAGCTCAATTTCCATGATCCAAAGTCCTTTCTACAGATTACTTTTGGGCCATAAACCTACTGGGGTCTTGGCGGAAAACCTTCCACCTCACTCCCAGAATTGGTAAACAGCCACGGAAAATTGAACAGACATCGCTTGATTTCAAAGGGAAAACCATCGGTTTTTCTGTACTTTTCTGCAACAGTTTCCATAGACCAAGTAACCCAATGAATTCTGTGTTTCGTGGTTCAATACCCCATTGTGCTGCTTAAATTCACAATATGTAGTCTGGTTGGTGGTTTCAATAATATGTTTTATTTTTAACCACATACTGTATAGGATGATGATGATCCCAGTCGACTCATATTTGTCAATCGAGTTGAGAGCACCAACTAGATATTGCATATATTAACTGTTATTAACTGGTTGCCAATAGTTACCATACTATACACCAGTGATATTCCACGCACCATCACGCAGCATATACATCGATATCTTTCAACGAAGGCCAAAGTTTCCCTTCCGCCATTTGCTGGTCAGTGTAATTCTCCAATAATTCATAAACAAATTGAGTCTGATACATTGCATGGGGCAAAACTCTTAAGTTTTTCATGTTTACCATTTTTATGGGTGGTTTAAACCATCAAAATATGGGTGGTGTATGACATTGCTTTACACTGAGAAACAAACCCAGACGAATCACTTGCCAGGCCAAGGCCTTTCTGACCGACGTCCAACGTCTAGCTGTGGCCTCCGCGACCTTGGCGTCTCACCTGGATCGGTGATTGGATCGGTGATGAAACCATGGGAAGTGTATAGAGATTTCACCAAGAAATATGATGTGAAGCCACATAATATATCATAGAATATGCTATGTACCATATTATACAGATGTGGCTATATCCATATTATCATAGCATATTCTATGTACCATCATTTCACCTATCATAGAATATGCTATGTACATCTATGTGTCTATTTTTATATGGGTTCTGACATCAGAGATAGTGAGAATCGCCGGCAAACAGATGGATCTCACCCGCAAAGTCTGCCCAGCCAGCTGCGTTGACATCCCGTTGATGGTGCCGCCAACGGCCCAAAGATGGCCCCAGCTGGGTTTGAGCCAAAAACAGGGCGCAGAACCTGCGGATGGCCCCAATCCAAGTGGTTGCCGCCTCAAACGGACCGAAACGGCTCCGGGTCCCATGCTGCTGCAGCTGTTCTTCCCAAGCTGTGCGACGGAAACATCAAGGGTGGGCCCTGGAGTGCAAAACCCTCACTGGTAAATTGGACACACATTGGGATTCCAACATGCTCCAACCATTGCCAGAATGACCCAGGAGTTTTATGTTGCCAGTGGTTTGACTCTTCAAAGGTGTCAGAGATTCTCTTGGATGGGACAGAAATACACATGACCTACTGTTTTTTTTTTCCGGAAAACAGGTAGTTTATCATCAAAAATAGAGGCTTCGTATAATTTAGTTTCCTGGAAACGTTTCCTTAAATATCCTTAACATATCTTAAGCACAAATCTACGAACCACTGGATCTCTCCAACAACGCCATGTCTCGCCATGGATGAGGTGCCGATGACGACCCGGTTGTTGAGCTTTACCCAACAAGACTTGTAGCAGACCAACCATTGGGATTTGAAGCGTGGGATCTGGGGGGAAGACCACCAGCACTAGGATCCAGTGAAAGTTGAGTAAAGTACCACTTACATGGAAGGTTTACCAGTCTTAAGCAGGCTTGATTCCCATTCTTTGATTTTTTTTGCTTGGCGAGTTGGATGATCTAAGTTGTTTCTTTCCTCCAAACAAACACCCAAGAGGATGGAGTATATAAACAAGAACCAAATGAAACATTTTTCCCTTTCCCTTTCCCTTTCCCTTTCACCACCACCACCATCACCACCAAGAAAAAACATCCGCCAGGGTCGAGACACTCTGGGCTTTGTGGAGCTGAAGGTGGCCAACTGAGCTGGGGTGACCTGTCTGGGGTGAGCAGTGACCGAAAACTAGGCAGTGTTGCCAGACCTGTCAACACTCTGGCTCCGACATAGCTGTCATACCCTTCAGCCTCCTGAGCTGCAGTTTACCCACCGCACATGTCTTTAGCCATGCAATTTGCGCAGTGTCTGTGCTTTGCCTGACCCTCCTCAGCATGATCTCATGCAAGGGCTGCAACCAAAAGGCTGCTGGCAGAGTCTTAGTTTGCCAATGTTGCAACGATTGCTGGTGCGCCTCTTGTGCAGAGAAGCCAGGGGACACAGGCATTTTGTGCTGCGACCATTGCGACACAGTACTGTGCATGTCTTGTGGCAAAGGCAAAGGCGGCACCATTTTGGTCTGCAGCCAATGTGGTGACGCGTCCTGTGACCCCTGCTTGAAGAAGGGCAAGGGAAAGGGCATGGTGTGCTGCAAGCACTGCAGCAAAGAACTATGTATGTCCTGCAACGAAAGGGTCAAAGACAGTGGAGAAGAGATTTTGACATGCAGCCAATGCGATTCCACCTCGTGTGGCCTGTGCTCCGAGAAGGGGATGGGCAAGGGCAAGGGCATGTTGCGCTGTGACTATTGTAAGACAGATCTATGTGAAGTTTGCAATGATGAAGACCGTGAGGAAGAGATTTTGCCATGCAGTCAGTGCGGTTCCAGCTTGTGTGCCCTTTGCTCAGAGAAAGGGATGGGCAAGGACGCAGGCACTTTGTGTTGCAATCATTGCGGCACGGTCCTCTGCATGTCTTGCCATCAACTGGGGGAGGGGAAAGGCAAAGGTGACACCATCTCGGTCTGTGGCCAATGCGGTGACAAGTGCTGTGACCTCTGCTTGAAAAAGGGCAAAGGAAAAGGCATAGTGCGTTGCGAGCACTGCAGCAAAGAACTATGTATGTCCTGCAACGAAAGGCTCGAAGAGAGCGGAGAAGAGATTCTGGCATGCAGACGATGCGATTGGGCAATGTGTGATTGTTGCTTGAAGAAAGGAATAGGAAAGGGCATATCTCGCTGCGATCATTGCAGTGCAGAAATATGCCAGTCTTGCAACAAAGAGTGCAAGGGCGAAGGCAACGGCATCTTGATTTTGGCCTGCAGCCGATGCAATCGCAAGTCCTGTCAGCTTTGCTTGCACAATGGCAAGATAAAGCCAATCTTGCGCTGCCAGGATTGCAGCAAAGAAGTGTGCTTGGACTGCAACAACATGCTCGAAGATACTGGTGAAGACATAGTGGCTTGCAGCCAATGCGATTCTACATCTTGTCACCTTTGCTTGAAAAAGGGGACAGGAAAGGGCATGCTGTGCTGCAATGGTTGCACAGAGGTCCTATGCCAGTCCTGCAACGAGGAGAACATGGGCGGAGGCAAAGGGATGTTGGTGTGCGATCGATGTAATAGCAAGTCCTGCCACTGTTGTGTGGTCGACCAAAACGGAATGACGCTTTGCAAGTACTGCAAGGGCTGGGATATTCTTGCTGACTACCATGAGAGAGGAGCGCAATTAGATGCCTGCAAGACTGAAATTTCAGTCCTTCAAAGCAAAGTCGATGAGCTGTCCGCTCAACTTGCTGATGTTGAACAGCACGCACAACGGGGAAAATTTGAGGCCGTTTCCCAAGTGTTGCCTTCCTGTGATGGCTTGGCTCACTTTGTCTCAGTCACCCTTCCCAATCTCACCACTGGGACTGAAGCCACTGTTCCAATTCTGGCCTTGCGATGGACTCACAAGGGCATCAATGCTCAGCTTGCTTTCGGAGAGAACCACGAAAATTCACAGGAGTCCATTTTCAAACTCTTTGAGCAGCTATTCCGACAAAGATTGACGCCGCTTGAACTGACTGAAGAAAATCCTTTGGAGGTGTTTCTGAATCGCGGTCCTGACCAACATCTCGGCTTGTACTCGGCCTGCAACCGTAGACTCACAGCTTTGCTGATGTATCAGATACTTCGCCGTGACGAACTGGTGAAGGTTCATGTGCTTGTGTGCTCGCCAGATGATCCAAGAATGAAGAGCAAATGGCAGAGGTGTTACGATGGAGTCGCAGGTCTGTCCATTCAACCACACGAAGGCAAAAGAGCTAGTGCCCGTCATCTTGGCTTGCCTCTTTTTGAGGGGAATGTCGCAGTAGTGACAGATGCATTGGAACGGGCAAGGAAGAGGCCCCACTCTCAGAGAGTTCAAGACAATTTGGATTTTGTTGTCTGTCGGCTTCGGCATAGGCCTTCCAATAGAAAAAAGGACGACGACTCAGTGACCTTTGTAAACAGCACAGTTGGGTCGCGGAAGCGAGGCCGGGAGAATGATGAGAGATGGCAGTGAAAGCCAACAGTGCAACCGATGAACTTATGCTGCTGCTCCCGAATATGTTCCAATGCAAAGGCTGACAACGGGTTCTATACCCCACACTGCATAGTAGCCTCGGCAGCCTAGCCGGACCATGCCAAAGTTGTGCCAGGAACGATTTATTTTCAGGATGACTAGACCAGTTCAGGCTGCATGGAATGGCAAAAAAGTCCGAAGCTGCAGCTTTTAAGAGAGATTCAGTGCCATGGATGTCTTGGATGCTTCAAATAGGTTCCCAAACATACCTGCAAAGTTTGGCAGTGGATCATGCAAGGCCCCATGGTCCAGATTTTCATGTTTCTTGCCTCTCAATTTACCGATAAATTTCCCCGTGCACAGTCTGGTTGGCGGTTTCAAGTGTTTTTGGGATTGAAAGCACCAACTAGACACATGTAGATAGAGTGTACTAGCGACTATACCCTATACACCAGTAATGTCCCGCCGACCACATTGATACTTGCAACCAAGGCACAGCCTTCCCTCCAAAGTCATCCTTTCACCGATCCATTGACAGGCCAAGGCCATTCTGATGGTCGTCCAACATCTTGCCGCGTCTGGCGTTGGAGTCTCACCTCAAGCAGCGATGCTTTACCCGGCTTTAGCGCATGGTTATGAAACCAGGAGTGGAATTTCACCAACAAACAGGCAAACACTAATCAGACTTTTTCCGGGATTTTGCCAGCAAAAGCGGGAGATGCTGCAAGGAACTAACCCACATAACCCCCATAACCCACATAACCCACACTCTCTCTGTCTCTCTGTCTCTCTGTCTCTCTGTCTCTCTGTCTCTCTGTCTCTACCTACCTATCTACCTATCTACCTACCTGCCTATCTACCTACCTACCTACCTATCTACCTGTCTACCTATCTACCTATCTACCTATCTACCTATCTACCTATCTACCTATCTACCTATCTATCTATCTATCTATCTATCCATCCATCCATCTATCCATCCATCCATCCATCCATCCATCCATCCATCCATCTATCCATCTATCCATCTATCCATCTATCCATCTGTCCATCTACCCTACCTACCTACCTACCTGCCTGCCTACCTACCTACCTACCTAACCTACCTAACCTAACCTAACCTAACCTAACCTAACCTAACCTAACCTAACCTAACCTACCCTACCTACCTACCTAACCTACCTACCTACCTACCTATCTATCTACCTATCTATGTATATTATACATATATATATATATATGATATACACACTGATCTTATATTGCTTATGAAACCAGAAATGATGAGGATAGCAGATAGCCAGCAAGAAGGTTTAGGATTTCACCAGCAAAACTGCCATGCCGTGGCCACCTTTGAAAACCTGGCCCAAAGATGGCCCTGGGCCATAGCTCCTTTGGGCCAATGTGCAGAACTCGCGGAGGGTCAAAATCAACGACATTCCAACTGATCAATGGCCATTTGATAAGGGAATATCCCCACAAAATATGGCCTTATATGGTACAGTTCCTCCATTTTAGGATCCTGAAATTCCCATTGAACTGAATCCAACTGAATCCCAGGCGACAGAGCTTTGTAATTCGCAATGGCTTGTCTCGCAGCCAACCAGGTCTACACCGTGCCAGCTTAACCCCTGTGATGGCTCCTGCAGCTGTTCTTCCTAAGTCGCGCTCTGCGACAGCTGACACAGACGGTGCCACCAATCTTTGGTGAACCGGGACTATGTGGATATAGGGTTCCAACATGTTCCAAGTACTGCCAGTAGATCCACAACTTGAAGTGACCCTGGAATTTTCCCCAGTTATTAGTGGCTTGACCCAGAAAAGGTCTGGGATGTTCTATTTGATGGGACCAACGAAATACATGACTTAGTGCATTGATTCAAGCGACATGTTGGGGCACGTAGTTTATCATCAAAAACAGAGGCTGAGTTTCCTGGAAAATCTTCCCTTAGATATCCTGAAGCTGAACTTTACGAACGACGGGATCTGTCTACCCACGCCATGTTTCTCCATGGATGAGGCGCCGATGCCGACGAAATTTTGAAATTTACCCAACAAGACTGGGTCAGAATGTGGCACCGGAGAATTCTGCGATGGACAGACAGACGTCCAAACATGTAGGATGCCACACTCTTAGGAGGGGAAATCACCGTTTTACTCATTTTTGAAGCTTGGGTACTGGGCAGCCACAACCCATCTCCGTGTAATGTCTTATCAATCTGTATCAAGAGTTGGCTCCCATATGGAGAATTTTTGCTTGGTGTGAGTAGGTTTGGTCAATTTTTTTCTGCTTGGTGAGTTGGGTTCGTGAAGGTTGGTTGGTGATATTCTAGTAAAAATTCAAGTTAGTTGGGATGGCATGATTTTAAGTGAGGGAAAAAGCTTCAGACACGTTTCAATCTAGATTTGGTTTGGCTGCGTATTGCCTGCCTTTGCATTTGTCAGAAAATAGGGTACCCCCAGTTCCAATGGTGAATCATCATGTTTTCCATGATCCAATTGCTGGAATTATGGGCTATCTCAATTTTTGGAATTGCGGTCTATACTATACGTACTTGTGATCTCAATTTTTGGATGGGGTATCCCCAATTTGTAATCCCGGATGAGTGTCTGAAAGTCTGCACTGCGACGTCACTGAGATGATGGTTGGGTTTAGGGTGATCATTCCCAACTGGCCAAGGCTTCAAGGTTGACGAATTCTCATCATTTATCCAGATAGTCTCTGGTTCTTTAACGTAGCGAAGTGGAAAATCACGCTTTGACAAACAGGTCAACCATATATCATATTATATAAATCATCATTTTTATCATCTAAAGCTGGGCATGTTTTCAAATTGAACAACTTAGGTATACTTGTGTATACCACCCAGTTGCCATTTCAATTCGGATGGTGATGATGAACCAATGGATGATTTGGGGCGCAATTGAAAAAACACTCAGACAAACCCATAGTTTATAGGATTAAACAACATGGATTTGGACTTTAATTAGTGGTGGATACACAAACAGATAACATGTCTTAACATGTAGTGTACCGTATGAGGTTGGTGATTTGGACTACCCCAGCGCTTCCAGCCCTTCCCGGTATCGCCGGTATCCCGGATTGAATTCTCCAGATCATCCCATTGCATTGCCTTCGCAGCCCTTACTGCTGGGTCGAGTGGGTCGAGTTCGGTGTGTCCAATTGACGACGCCAGAGGCGCCACACCGTGCAACACGTGCCTTGGACAATGAGTCAAAATCCGGGGAAACCTGGATGGTACCCTAAGTCATAGCTGGTTTATGGATGTGAAGAAACCCCCAGTATGGTAATAACAATGATAATAATAATGATAATAATAGAGGATAATATAGCTTTTGACCCATCCCCATGTGAGTTTCCCTTGTAATGGGAGTGCATTTTGATTTCTGGCTTGAACCTTGGAGCAAGGTTCATGTCCTGGGCCCAGAAGGCCGGAAATGGGAAAGCGAGTGCGGCATCGTCATCGATCGCACCGGTCTCGGAGGAGATCGTTGAGGCGATGCCGGGCACCAGGCCGTTTGGACAAACGCGGTGCACAGAATCACGGCATGGGCTCGACTGGAAGATCCATCAGGTACCTTCAGGGTGATCACAGTGAAGTGAGCAGAGGCCCTGTGATCTTTCGGCTGTGAGAAACCTGGACCGACTTGATTTTGATCCTGGGGCTTGATGGCGATCCTAACGTGAGGTGAAATCACTTGAGGTTTTCAGCTCACTGCAAGAGGCAGCTTGGTGAGTCTGGCGGGTAACGAATGATCCAAGTTCAATTCGTTTCGCTGCCTCCACTTGGCAGCTCCACATCATCCGCCATCCCGCAGCCACCCTGCAGCCATTATAATCTCAAAATCAGGGTGACGAATCCCATGCTCCCAATATATCCCAATATCTAATACATCCCAAACCAAATGAGTTTAGTCTTGGATCCATCCAATCAAGGGTTCATTTAATGGGACTTTCATACTGGATCATCTTGGGTGACCTGGGTGGATGGGAAGCAAAAGCACCAGCGGCAGACTCTGAATGCCATGGCGTCTCCAAAGCCGTGTTCAATAACCAGAGGGTACCCTCTGGTAACTTAACATAGCTATTGAAAATTGCCATTAGCAGTGGATTTGCCCATTAAAAATGGGTGGATTTTCCATATGTTAGTTTACCAGAGGGTAATCCCAATGAATTCCCCTTTTCGACTGGCTTCTCCGTCGCCGCCCCAGGGAGCAAAACTCAGCGGAAAGCGCTCGGCCAAGCTTTTGCTGGCGCAGCAGAAGGTGCCGCAGCAGAGCCATGGATGGCCATCCGAAAATGAGGGATTCCCCTCGGGTAAACATACAAAAAACGATGGAAAATCACAATTTTTTATGGGTAAATCCACTGTAAATGGTGATTTTCCATAGTTTTTTTTATGTTTACCAGAGGGTAGACCTGCAAAACTGTGGATTTAAGCAACCAACATTGGGATTTGACCAGCTAACATGAGGATTTCGCGAACGACACAAACGTGGATTTTCCTCCAATCTGTTGCAATTTCGGTAGGAAAATCATCTGCATATGGCTGTGAATGGTGAATTGACCAACACAAACGAGGGTGTAAAACCAACCACTTCGAACGAATATAATGGAATATAATGGAATATGATGGGGATAACATGTGATATAATGTGGACATGATGGGATGAACTAGGGATAACATGAGATATACGTCGATATATATATATATGTGGAGATACAATCGGATACTAGTATAAGCAATAAAGATAATCTAGGTTTGTCCCTAAATGTAGAGTTGAGGGGTGTTATTAACCAACGACCTGGGACCTGGGATGTCACATGATTGAACTCATTTGTTTAATGGGGATATCATGGGGTTTTAATGATCGTGGAGATTTTCAGCAAGATACCAAAACACCATAAAACACCCATATTTGATCACTGGTTGGTGGTTTCACACATGGGTATGGGTCAAAATTAGGTACCCCAAAATTATGGATGGTTAATACTAAACTAGACATTCACATCTGTGGTTTGCTAGGTCTTCCATTTTGACCCACATCCACATGGCATGATGATCTTTACAGAGTTTCCTCTTTTGAGAGACCTTGAAGCCACCCAGAAGAAACATTGAAAGTCGGCCAGCACTGCCAGCACCCAAGATTTTTGTGGAGACACACATATTTAAGCCACAGAAAAAAGGGGGAAATTCGCCAACATCGGGATTCTGCCACTGAATTTCGATTGAAAAATTCATTTACGTTTGAATCATCACAGTTCATTTGGTAATCAAACGTGGCTAGCTGGAAAATCCTCGAACTAAATGGAGGTTTCAATGTTAGAATCGTCTATAAACGGGATATTTTCAATTGCTACGTTTTATTACCGGAGGGTCCGGCTGGTAGGTCATAGTGACATAGTGGATGTTAAGGATTTAGCCTGTCTGATTTTGATCAGTCCAAGACAGGGAACATCAACAGGGATATGATGGATCACATGCACACACTTTTGTCCCCCAAAGAATGGGGTATAACTATGAGCCAAAAATCCAAAGGTGTGTAAAATTCACACATCTCTTCCTGATTGCTGGTTTCTTTCATATTTGTGTTTTTCCATCCCTATTATAGTCACAGGATGGTCCCAGAATCAACTTTCAGAAGTCTTGGGACTTGGGTTGAAGCTGAGAAATGGGAACATGTTTGCCCAGTTTCATAGAGGAACATAGTAACACAACTGAAAGTAGTACCCAGCTATTTGTTTCCTGTAGTATGGAAGTGTCGCCATGAATATTGGGATGGGGGCAGAAATGATGGGTTGGATAGTGGGTAGTGTGCTTTTCGGGGTGCGATGCAACCAGCACTCAACCCAAACTCCAGATATTCCAATATTGACAACAATCACAAGAAGGATAGGGCAATTCCCAATTAGGAAAGCTTAGCAAAACCAAGAGATGAGATACATACCTCCAATGATGGGAAAAGGGTGGTATCCTAACTTTGAAGCGAACATCATCTACAGATGGGGTATTTCTATTGCCATGTTTGGTTTGACATAGTGTAAATGGTTGATGAAATAGGTTGTCTGAAAATCCTAAATTTTATTTTCAACATTTTCATCCTCATTTTCCCAATTTTATTCAATGGCCATAAAGGGCGGGCAAATCCTCTCCGAGTACTGCACAGGCCTCCACAGCAGACCTGGAACGCTGGGAAAGCCAGTGACGGGTGGTCAAAGGACCTTTGTCTACTGTGATTTTATGGATCTCAGAACCCTTGAAAGCACGCAATGTTAGGTCATTCTTGATCCACAAGTCTCAAGTTGTCAGGTCAACAACTTGGATAAACTTGGTCATTCTTGAGCCCAAACCACTTCAACACCAGGTCCATCTATCTTTTTGGGTTCCCAAAACCACTAAAACGACTGCCGAACGGTGAGGTCGTTTGCAGGCGGCCCAGGCGCGCTTGGCGAACCAGCCGAGCCAGCCGAGCCAGGCGAAACTCCACAGATTTGGGGTTGAATCAAGTTGACTCCAGGCTTTTGAGAGGTGCCACACCATCTTTTTTTAGGGAAAAACTGTTTGGGGTCTTCGGGGGTGTAATTTCTTTGGCAGATGGTCAGTTTACCTCATGTGTGAGGGTTTGATACGTACGGACATGATCATCAGAAAATCGGAATGAAGAGTATTAGGAATACTTTGCTCACATGGACCTTTGGCATGCTTTGACCATGACACTTACTCATTGCCTTTACTATGGTTGTTTCTCAACGCCTTCCGCAAAGCTTCATCAGGTTGATATGCATTTTGTGCTGACTGGTTGACATGTATGGGGTGATTGGCAGCGAACGAAGCTACACTGCCCTACCACACCTTTCAACACAGTGTTTCCTCAATTGTTGTCATCGCAAGAAAACATATGAAGCAGCGTTCAGCAAAGATTCAGTACCATAGATGTGGTGCATACTCCCTGGGCACCCAACAGGTTCCAACATGTTCCAAACATAATTTCAAGTTCGAGGACTGGATTCTGCGAAGTTCTTCTCGTTCCTTTATAAACTTTACACATCTTCCCAGTTCAACAGTCTTTCAGCCTATGTTCACTCACAAGTTAAAGCGGTTGACCATGGACGCGTCAAACAAATTAAAAGTCAAGATGCTGTAGCCCAGTGGCTTACCCTTTTCAAAGCTTCCAACAGTACCAAGAGATGCCATACCAAGGTCCAGCCAGATGATCGAGAGCTGGCTGAGGCTGCCATGTGTCGGTGGATGGGGAGCATGGGCGATCCTATTCTGATGGGAAATTCATGGAAGAACGTTGCCGATTTCTTTGATTTCTCTGCTCGTTCTGGTGATTTACCCTCCCTCCAACATAGACCCTGCCAAAGACGGGGTTGGAAGAATAGTCGGGGTCTATCTTGGTTGGGATGGCTTCATATGACATATTTGCCCACCTTAAAGGAAAGACATACATCTTCCAAGGCTTTGCGCCTCAGCGAACAGGAGGCCGCCGAGGTGCGGTTTATGGAGCAGTTGGGGATTTACACCCCCAATTTACAGCAATCTTTTAATGGAGAAGTGGTGGATTTTCCCAAACAGCAATTTCAATGGGGAAAATCATGAAATGTGCGTCTCGATTCGACGTATATATATATGTATATTCAATCTCATGGATCATCTTGGTGGTTCAGCTTGAGTGCTGACTTGATAAGACTGGATGGTCTGGTAGTGTGCTGCCTTTCAAGGCCGCGGGTGAACGAGACATGCTGTCCAATCCTCAGTCAAGTGGCCCAAAACTGGGATCCGTCAAAATCACCAAAGTGGTGTATGGGAACACAACTGTTGTGATATCTGACGTGGAGATTGTACCCAAGCATTGAGGGATGACCAGCAGTCAGGGGATGAATTTTTGATGTTCTGGGAAATGACCATGGACACGAAGATTTTGGCGTGGATCAGTATCGACAACGCTTTTCTTGGGGGTCCGAAGGTCTGCGATCACCCACTAAAGTCCTTAATGTGATGAGCTTTTGTCTGGAACTACATAGTTCAGCCCAGCTATGATTTTGATGAGTTCTCAGCAGAGTTTCTTTGAGCTGCGCAGGGTACCGGTGAACACCTTGTGACCCTCTGCTGATTTTCCGTGGCCATTTTGGAGGGTGAAACGGCTCTGACTTTTGCATCGCTTCGGGGAAGATGGCCACCAATGGTGTTGCTAGCACCAATGGGAAGGCGAGGCATGTTTCGCCCTTCACTTCACGTTGTATACAATGAACAGCTGCGTTTTGACCAAATTCCATGTCGGCAAGGATCGGTACAGAACCCAATGGATTAGTTTATAGGTCTCTCCTGTTGAACATATATGATCATATGATATACTAATGCATGTATATATATACACATATAAATACATATTAATACATATTACTGCAATGAATGCAATTTGTATATTCACACCAGTTGCTCTGCAACCAGGACCGCTCGCGGTCGCCCAAGAAGGAGCTCAAGACCGACCCATCCAAGTTGACCGAAGAAGATTTGCAGGCAGATGAGCCATTAAACATACCCCGGTTGATTGGTTATGGGTTACCATGAGAGGTTAAAAACTACCTGTGATATTGGGATATTGGGTCAATAACCATTTTTGATGAGATATTGGGATATATAATCCCAGGATATGATATATGGTTTTGGGGATTATTATTATGATTCTATTAAAACTAAAGTGGTAAACCCAAAACCCTAAACCTTCCACTTGGGGATGGCTATTATCACCCATCTATGGTAACAGTATTGATGGTTTATTATTGGGTTTACCACATTACCCCTGTTGATTAGTTATACTACCTGGTTTATGGGTGATTACGGTATCATGGTCCATAATAGAGATGCCTATGAATCAACCAGTATAATTGGATGGGCTACGGCGTATTTTTCATGGCTTAGATTGGGGCATGGGATCCAAACTTGTGGGATATATTGGGATATACTATCCGGAGCGATGGGTACGAAAGGGGAAGTGAAGGAGTTACTACGAGTTTCTCAACCACATGACAGCATATAAAGATGCATATAATAGTAACTGGTCATAATGATAGGATATCCTACTGTAGGGGTCCGACAAACACCTATATAGTTGCTTGGTAGTTGGTGGCTTCAAATCATGCTTCTTTTCTATTCATAAGCCAGCTTTCTTCAGGGGGATGAAGCCGGCAGCCAGTTACTGTATCTTAACTTACATGTTTTCCTTTCTGGGGTTAGACCAACAGTTGAATTGGTAGTTGATTGGTGGTGGTTTTGACCCCGAAGGTGATGTCAGTTAGGTGATGTCCAGGTAAGAATGGCTGGCAAGGTCCTTTTTTTTGTGGTCAAAAGTCAGTTTTGGGCCGCTGCCATGCCTGAAACTTGTGGACCCCAGAACTTGGATGGTAATGCTCGATTGACCCATTGACCCATGGTCAATGGAGAACTTTTGGGGAGCTATGAAGTTACTCAAACTAATCTCTTCCCTCGAATATTGTATAAACACCCTCCAGAAACCATGGTTTAGGGATGGGATTACCTTGGTTGAATCGAGAGGCACGTGAAAGATCCAGCCAAACTGGACATCCGGCTTTGAACTGCATGACAGAGGGCATGAGGTATACGCTATCGCCAACAACAATGGGATATAACATAGCAATGACTTGATCCACATAATTTATGGATAGTAGCTCCTGGGCACAAGCTGACAGTTGACAGGTGATACTCCACATCTATCCATATCTCCATTTTAATGATTTTCACAAGAGATGCAAGAGGAATTGTGGATAGAAACCTCTGCCAGGATGGTTTTTCGGTCCAGCAGATCTTCACCTCCACGACAACCAAGAGCGGCTACACCTACGATGATTTGATCTGCCTCCCAGGTTGGCTTTCTGTGGAAAGCATGGGGGATTTGTATGGATTTATCACCCAATTTATGATATGTTTGCTGATTTTCATGGGGAAAATGAGGAACAAAAGCGTTAAAACCATGGGCTCAGAATTGGCTTAAGGGAAGATTTATTTGAAATGCCTTTAATTGGGTGCAAAACCATGGTTTCCTGTAGATTTTGCAGTTTGAGACATAGCCAGGTCACATCAACTTTGGTGTCCACGACGTATCCCTGACCACCCGTTCCTTGGTGAGAAAACGGGTGCCCTGCCGTCCCTGGTTGGGGTCAAGGGGGTAGGCCATGGCTTGGATGGTTGCATTCATAGTAGTGATATGTGCGTGCGCATCCGAAAATGGGGTATACCTCCAAATGGCCATTGATATGGGGAACCACGGTGATAAACGATGAAATTTTAGGGACACCCGATTTTCAGACATATCCAAATGTGTCAAACAGGACCCAAAGTCCTTTTTCTCCAGGTCTTGGTTCCTTTACCCTCATTCAGTTTGCACTCTCTCTTGATGAAATCCGGTACCACTGAAGCACCCCTTGGCTCGAAGATCGCCGGATGCCAAAGGTTGGCCTTGTTGGTGGCTCCACCTGTAATGTTCATGGTCAAGTCTCAGGGACCCATGACATATGGGGACGGCAACAGCCAGCGATCATGGGGATGATGTATATATATATATATACTATATATACACATATACATACACAATATGTAAGGGATGATATACAGGCAACATCCAGGTGGTTTGAAAGATTTACGACTTGCCATGAGCCATCCGTATGTAAGTTATTTTTTGTGGGGGTCAAACCAGCAGTAAAAAAAACCTGGACTCAGCACCCACGCTGCCATGGAGCGATCTTCAAGCTCACCTGTTGTGATCTTTTGCCTGGGGTTAACGGCAATGCGGGGTCCCCGGGGTGACTTGTATTTTGCCATACCTTAACGGCACCGAGCCCGGGCCAAAGCCGAGAAAGCCAAAAAATTGAAGCAAACTGCTTGCCTCGCTTGGAATGTCTCAGATGGAAAGAAGTGATACATTTGACACCCTTCCAATTCTCTTCTCTCCAATTGTACATTGCAAAGGCTTCACCCAGAAATATGTGACCGCCGAGACAGGCCTTTCTTCGCATCGGCCAAAGATGCGTCTCACCACGTGGGATTTGGACTTTTGGGATCAGAGAGACTGCTGAAGGTTGCGGTGCTGGGCCGTTTAAACCGCAGCGATCTGCAAAAGCAAGGCTACTGGACCACCTTCGGGCGAGTGAGAATACGTCACATCACCAATCCAAAGGATTTTTGCCGAGGATCTGCCACACTGCTCGCGACAGTGGAAGAGTTTGTTGACACGGACCATGACCGGGATTGCTGGGAAGAGGAGGTCGACTTGCGGAGGTTGATTCAAGAGGCTGGCAGCCCAAACCTGTTTTCTTTTCTTCACATACAGTGACAGAGACACCAAAATATAACAGACAAAATCAGCATTTGAAATATTGGGAGACAATTTTTCTATCTTTTTGGACTGCGAGATATTGTACGATCTTTGACTCATTTCTGACAGCGTAAGTTTTCCCCCCTGCTCTCTCCGATAAAATATCCAGGTGATTCAATTGACCAAGAAGACCAGGGATCCTGAAACCCATGACTATGGGCTCGCCACTTCCCAGTTGGACGAAGCCATTGACCCCACACACCTCTGGCATCTTGCGCGGGATTGGGAGCACGTGTTGGATTTACGCCGCTGGCACCGGCACCGGCAAGGAATTTTCATAGGCTGGAAAGGCGCATGTCGGTCTGTCGCTATCCATCCTTTGATCATCCGGACTCAATCTTTTGGTTGCAGTTGCTGAGTTCACAGTCGCATTTGGAGAGGCTCCAGCTGCTTCGCAGCTCCTTTCAGGCCGAGGTGCAATTCTTGGAAGCTAAGGCGGTATTGCAAGGATTGTTTTGACCCGGCCGGCGCCAACAAGGTCGACAGCCGCGTTTCACATGCAGTGAAATCACGGTTAGACTTCAGTTCTGACCTAGAAGTGGAATATGGACCAGAAAAGTGAGAGACCTAGAAAGAGGGTAGCGGAGTTTTTGCGTGGGCAGGTCCTGCTAAAGGTCCCAAGGGGGCATTTTCTCCCATTTTTTTGCTGTCACCGAGGCCTATCAGATATCAACATATTCAAAATAGACACTATGCTTTCAAGATTTTCACTTCTTACAGTGAGGTCCAGAATCTAGATCGTCCTTCCCACGTTTTGGATTATTGACAGAATAGCCAAACACTTTGGCGATTTCAGTGCGAAAATTCATTGGACAATCGTTCCCATTTCGCTCATATCTATCAGGTCATCTACCATTTTGGCTGCTAAAGACCCAGTATTTCCATCAATTCTAGGCTTTAAATCCATGGAAAACCAGTTACACCATGTTACACCAGTTTCCTGAGAAATAGCCAGGTACACCTCCAGTCCCCAACGTCCAGCAGTCAGCAGATGTCAGCAGCCCAGGCTTCACCAGGAAGATCTCTTTGAAGACGCCCATCGTCTCCAGCCCCATGGACACCGTGACGGAGTCGGACATGGCCATTGCCATGGCGTTGGAAGGTGGACACCATGGCCACAAACAACGACCATGGCCGTGGATGGTTTGAATATAGGACATAGGACCCATCAAAATGGTGATGACTTGGGGGATATTGGGTTTACATGGCTTTACCACATTTGCGAGGTTTGTCCCAAGTTTTTTGGGGGTTGAAACATCTTGAACTTCCTTTTTTTCGCGTTGAGAATCTTCTGGCGGATCAGTCTTTCTCTTCAGCTTTTTGTTCGGTTTGATCCGTTTCTTTTTGGGATGAAACTTGACATGTTGAAATTTAGTGGTTGAGCTGGTCAAGCTATCTACTTGGGTTGGCGGTCAAGCTATCTACTTGGGCTGACAAGTTGTGTACATCAAGGAAATATGCTGTTTGGTCGGATTGTTGGGTTGATTACCATTTATCTAGATTTTTGGACATCCCTTGGTTTGCCAGAAAGGCCCCTCCCTTCTAGGCCTTGCACTAGAACTGCAACCAGAGGTTTTGTACATGATTACCGTAGGTTCAATGCTACCAAAACCCCAAGATGTCTGCAGCAGATCCAAATTGGAGATTCTCAATCACTGTTGGCTCTGATCAATCTGGCAATTGCAAGAGCTTTCCAGCATTTGTTCCGATGTTTCATCCATTTGCAATTGATTTTCCCACCTGTATCTCCAATGCCGTGGTCGTTGCACGCCCGTTTTGATCTCAAACATTTAGATGTTCTTCAATTCGTTTGCGTGAGTCATCATTTCCAACTTATTTGCCAATTGTTTTTCCTCATTCTTTACAGGAGATTCTCTCCGCGTCATTTCCCCCCCATTTTTTCCCACCGAGTTTTCTCTGCAGGCGGCATCGGTGTGATCCACACCAATCTCTCGATCGAGGCGCAAGCTGAACAGGTGGCGCGAGTGAAGAAGTTCAAGGCCCTTTGGGCCTTCGGGACTGGAGGAGTTGGCTGGTGAGGAACTGTGAAAATGGGGGAGTTCAGGGACAAAGTGATAGAGAAAACTGTGAGGATGTTCATTGGATATGAACGGGGGTGTAATTATATTATACATGTATACATTTACATAACTATATGTATATATATATACATAAATTTTTATAGTTATATATACAATTATATGACTATATATACAATTGATTAGAAAATAATATACATAGATCTAATAGATAGATATAATTATATGTATAATTTAATTGTAGATATAGTTATATAAATAATATGTGTATATATATATATACCGGGTACGTTTTTGAGAATATTTGTGGGCCTTTCGGGATCCAAACCGTCCTAGATCTTCTCAGCCAGACGCGCATGATGTTCGATCGCCAACTGGAAAAAAACATATGAAATGGGATACATGCACGAGCATATGTACACATATTATAATGTATATACTGAATATATATATAAAGATATATATATATATATGTGGTCACATATCATCGGTCTGGTTAGGTTGGGATATGTGATTCAATTTTAGTTCTGTCACCACCAGCTGCTTGCTCTTGTGCATTCATGGAAGGTGTTCACCTTCTTGCTTGATGTTGTGATCGTGAATGGTTGGAATTTGAGATGAAGGATGTTAATCCTTTTATTTATTTATGATCTGCGAAGCTGAGATTTATTTGATCATGATTTTATTTCAGAATATCAGCGATCTTGATTTTGAGCGCAGCCAAGTGGAAGATCGATCGATCTTGCCATTTTGGCTCAAGATCGATCCTCTGAGTCAAAAGCTCAGGGCCTGGGTGCAGAATCCCTTCGCTCATCCTATCCTCCGTGTTCTAGCCATGTCTCGTCGATCAGGAGCTGGCAACACTGGCTACGGCTCCTACGGTCGTGGCGGAAGCAGTGGCGGAGGTCAGTGGGGTGGGCAGCGATCGGGCCCAAACATGGCGCACAACCCGTACGTGGTGCAGATGCCAAAGTTCATTGAGCCCATTGCTGAAGGTCCTGAGCCGGAGGATCAATCGATGATCGTCATTGATAGCCGTGACGATCGCATGGTTTCGCCGTTCCAGACTTGGTTGGTGTCTGAGATCATGGCGAACGCTGCCAGCTCGATCAACGTTCTGACGGAAAGAGATCAGGTCATGCCTCCCAATTCAGGCTTCCACCTGGCTCTTTTTGGAAACTACACGTTGGACGGCATCAAGGTCGTTGTGGCAGTCTCGATCGAGTCCCTCACCGGGAACACATGCGGTGGATGGGACGCCAGCACAGCTCGTGCGTTGTCCCATCCCGCGTTCCAACCATTTAGCTGGCCAATGCTCCGTGACACATCGGCTTCCTACATGGATGTGAAGATCTATAATGGAAACGAGATTTTGTTCCATTGGATCTTCAGAGGATTTAGGTCTGACACCGATCTCACGGTCCAGCAGCAATTTGTGGACGAGTTCTTCGTCCGCGAGGCCAGCAAGGGACAGCCGAGGCTCTCCATCGTGGTCGCAGTGTTCATAGGCTGGAGAGTCTCAGTTCTGAGCTTTGAATGTGGCGGTCGAACTTACTCGATCGGGCCGCAGGGCTCAGTGGTGGCTGGTGACTCAGCTCGTTCGAGATTTGAGTTGAGAGTGTGCTCACGGTCATCTGATGACACGGTTGGGAACGATGCCGATCGCATTGAAATGAGATTTCGTGATGCAAACAACCGCATCGACTTGAAGTGCTCTCGTACTTCGGTCCCTGGCACGTGGCTCACTGTCTCCCACATTTCTGGGCCGACTCTGATCCAAACCATCAAGTCGGTCAGGGAGAACAAGGCGAGGGTCGAGGGGCCAGAGCAGACGGAGCAGTTCGCCCAGCTCGCGGCCGTGCACGAGAACTGGTGGAAGAGCTCCGTTGCCGGCAGCGAGGAGGAGGTCGGCGTCAAGGTCAACTTCGTCGACTGCTTGGAAGCTGGCAACTTCCACGTGCAAGCCAGGTCGAAGCTGATGGAGCGGGCACCGGAGATCGTGCCTCAACGGGCTCTTGCTGAGATGCGCCACACGGCATCAGCTCCAGCACCAGTGGGTCCTCCAGCTCTGACAGCACAGGCCTGGCTCCAGACGGACGTTGGAGGAGATGCTCAACCAGCTCCCCAAGGAGAAGACTTGCTCGCATTGAACAGTGGCAGCCGGGCATCGAGCTCAACGAACGCTCGTTCAATGTCCGCCATTCCAATCAAGGAGAAGCTGGTCACCAGGTCGACGTGGACAGGGACAGAGCTCGCATGGATCGTAGGTTTGCTCGATCTACGGCCGGGCTGACTCCTATGATCTTTGCAGAGGAGATGCAACGTCGCTCCTACAACACCTCTACGGCCATGATTGAGGAGGTCGAAGAGGGTGGGGGGCCTCAACAGCCGATCGGCGCCAGAACCCCACACGCGCAGGGTGCTCATCCGGGGACGGCTGGGGGCTCATCAGCTCCAGTGTCGTACGGACCCAGCACCTACGACGCATAGATCCTTGCGGATGTGGGTAAGTTCAGTGCCACATGTAGGATGTTGAGAAGCTCTGCAGCTTGATCGGCAGCACGAGCGTTGCTCAGTTTTTAACCACAGCCATAGATCTGTGGCGGTTTTTCAATTACATAGCATTGGACTTTATTTGATAGAAAATTTGGATGTGATCAGATTGCTCTGTCCTGCTGCTCAGCCGTCTTGACCGATCGGTCTTTTCCCAGTGAGTTCTTTTAATCCAGCTGTTCAGCCGCGGAGGGATGGGGAAGATCAAACCCCTTTGCAACCAGCCACCAGGGTTGATCAACCCGGTCGTGTTGGTTACTCCTCCCATTGGGCGATCCTCGATGATTGTTAATTGTTCGCTAGTATTGGATTACCCTTCCTTACTAGGATAGGATCCCCCGTAGGATTTGGTTCCCCTAACGGGCAATCCTCGATGATCCTTAGCTAGTCCCTTACCCCCTTATCCCCAGGTCCTGAGGTGTAGGCTGATCACGCCTCCCAGGTCGGTCCCCCTTAATCGGATGATCTCCGGTAAGGGTTGGTCCTTTTTCGTTTGGGGTAGGGGGGTTTTTATTGAGGGACTTGTTTCTTGCTGATTTTCATAATCGGGCTGATCAGCCCTATCCAGATCCGGTCCTTAGTCCTCAGTGGCTAGATCCCAGCCACCGGGGCCACGCTGCAGGCTAGATCCTCAGCCGGCGGCGTGCCGTTCGTGAAGCACAGATCGCTTCGGGCCCTCAGCTTTTGTGATCAAGCTGGATTGATCGATGTGATGGATAGATCGATAGCTAGGTTCCTTTGTCTTCCCATTTTTGATGACCCTTTTCGGGGAGTTTTGAGAGATCTGAAATTAGATCATGTAGAGTTCTGGCTAGCCATGTCGGACGATGCATCCGAATCGGCTGATGAAAGGCTCTCTGCATTTCTGCCGGCTCTCACAGATGATCAGAGTGTTTTGGATACAATTTTGGTTAGGCTCGAGATGGTGAATATCCTGGCTGACATGGTTACCCGCTCTGCCAGCAGGGTCCAGGCGGAGATCGCCTCGGATTTGGGGTATGGGTCAGCGGAGCCGCCAAGGGTCGGCGCCAAGAGGGCGGCAAACCAAGCGATCTTGGTCGCTCAGCCCCCTGGCTCTTTTGGCATGATGCCATCCGGCCATGGTTCAACAGCGCAGGTGTCCTCGATCAGGACAATGAGAATTCTGAAAAGAAGAAGTGGGGCAGGCGACTGTCACAGATCTGTGACCGCGCCGGCAGTGCCGCATCGATCAATGATCCGGCGCAGTGCATTGGGCTGGCACCAGCAGAAGCCGCTCAGCTGCGCTTGCTCGCCTTTGAAGCAGGTGGCTTAAGAACGATCAGGCAGAATGTCAGAAACTGGGAAAAGTTTGAAGAATGGGCTGCTGGCAAAGGCCTCAGGGTCTACCCGCCAACGATCGTGGCTGTGATGTCATACGCCTCACACCTCAGCGATCAAGGGTGCGGGCCAGCAGTTCTCCCAGCGTTCAAGTATGCAGTGGGCTGAATCTGTAAGAGGCTGGCGATGTTCTGTCCTGAGATGGGCGACGTTCGCCTCAAGGCCTTGATAGATCGGGTCCACTCAGAGCGTGGCAAGGAGCTCAAAGAGGCGATCCCCCTGCCACCTAAACTTGTGGTGGCTCTCGAGGTGGTGCTCCCCAAACTGCGCGTCGTTGAGGTTCGACGACGGTGTTCATGTCGCGCCCTCTTCACTGGAGATGACGCCTGAGGCTCTATTGGGCGTGGTATGGCAGACAAAGGTCGAGCGAAAGAAGCGTGGCACCAGATTTGCGGTGCCCACATGCTCCATCTCCGGAGTGGATTGGCTCTCCATGGGATGGGACCTGTTCAAGCCCTACCTTTCTGACCGCGACTATTTCATATGGGAGCTCAAGTCCGAGAAGGAGTTCACTGAAGCGCCAGTAACCTACTCTCGTGGGCTGTCCTGGTTGAAAATGCTCATGTTGAAGGGCATCGCGGAAGCCCACACCCTCAAGCTCGTGGAAGTGAACGAGATCGAGGTGCTGGAGAAAACTGTCAGGGATGTTACCTGGCACTCTATGCGCGTGACCATGCTCTCCGAGGCAGTGAAAGCTCAGGTCGACGACAAGATCGTCGGCCTCCAGGCCAACTGGAAGGATCCTAGTCAGCTGGTCCTGAAATATGCTCGTCAGCGCAAGGAGCTATCGGTCGCTATGGTCAAGGGCATGACTGAGAAGCTCAGACAAGCTTGGGTGCCTGATCGGCAACACTTTGTGGTTGAAGAAGAGGACGAGGAGATCAATGAGCCGATCGTGCCCGAGTTTATTGTCAAAGCCTCCCTGCCAGCCAGCGCTCTGAGTTCATCAGATCTCCGATGCCACGTTTTTGATCGCCGGGTCCATGAGGACATGTCGGTGTGTGGTCGACTGAAACTGCATGATGCTGTTTCGGTCGGAACCCAGGCGC